GCAGCAGGTTGTGTAGGTGAGGGTGGGCACCAGGGGATGGCCCCACAGCAAGATGCCCGCTCCGGATCCGACGCAGCTCGCCCCGTCCCCGCTGTCACCGCCTGTAAGGAGAGGAGAGGACATGAGCTCAGGAGGGGTGATGGTGCCAGCTGGCCAAGAGCAGCGTGGCGTGGACACCCCCCACCCCAAAAGACCATCCATGCCCCTACTTCTGGCGGGTGGTGCTGTAAGGATCAAGGAGGTGGGAGCTGGCCTGGGCCAGGTTCCAGTCGAACATCTCCAGCACCCGCTGGCACTCAACGCGGGACTTCAGCCCTAGGCAGAAAAGCTGCTCCACCTGCAAGGGGATAGGGCACGGCAAGGAGGGGGACAGGGATGCCAATACTCCCACAGGAGCTGGGGCAGGTGGACAAGGGTGTGTGATACCTTCAGGTACTGGATGGCCCGCTGGATGCTCCAGCCATGGTTCTGCAGGGCCGCCTGGCACTCCTCGGTGGTCACACCGTGCACTGTGTCCTGCACCTAAGGGGAGGTTATGGTCAATGTCTGCCACCTCACCCCAGCAGTGAGGAGCCAGCAGCTGGAGCAGGAGGACACCGGGGCTGCCCTCCACCCTAGCTCTGTATCTGGGGAGTACCATCACCTTTGAGCTGGGACTATTCTCATCCCTGGGATCTTCAGCCTCTCCTGGGCTTGGGTGCAGACTCCTGGACCCAGCCAGGAGAGCCCAAAGGGACCACAGTGACAGCCACCTTCCTCCCCACTTCCTCGGGCTAATTTGGGTTAAAAAAGCCTGTGATCCTCATTTTGCAGTTGCAGTGACACTTATGTCCCACAGCACAACTGGGCACCCCTTGTAGCCAACTCCCCAGGGTTGAACCTGGGGAAACCAGGGTGGGGATGGCTCTTGCTCAAGCGAACCCATGGCCACTGTGTCCCCTCTTGCTCACAGATGCCACTTACCAGCCGGATCTTGTCAGCAGGGCGGCAGCCATCTGGCCCATCGTAGATGATCTTCTGGAGGCTGCAGGAGGCTTTCACCAGGCACTTGGGCCCAGGATTGCTGTTGTTGGAGGAGAAGTTGGCCTTGCAGTCTGGCGGCGGCTGCTGCACCATGGGACGGACGGTGGCTGTGGTAACCAGGCGGGATGCCTGCACCTCCTCAGGGCTTTTGGCCTCCTTGAAAAACTTCTCATACTTATCCAGGTATGCAGGGCGCTCAGGCAACAGGTAGTAGTGGGTGCTGCTGACCTTCTGCCCGTCCTTCACGATTGGCAGGATGCAGGGTCCCTTGGAGCAGTCCTTGCCCTGCGCCTGGATTACCTTGGGGGTAGCATACTTGGGGTCCAGGGCAAAGCTCTGTGTGGTGGGCATGGGCTTCCCTGGTGAGGTGGAGAGGCAGGAGCAGAGGGCGGCACGTTGCTGGGGGGACCCCACCTGCAGGGCCATGGGGCTGGGTGTCCGGGAGGTGGGCTGCGACAATGGGTCCCTGGGGGGGATCTGGGGTGGCCGGTCCTCCTCGCCCCCTGACACTGGGGAAAGCTCCCCCGACCAGCGCCCAGGCTCGTTACGGCGTACGGGCCGTGGCGGGATAGGGATACGGGGAGGGATTTGTGGCTTGTCATCTGTGGGGGCAGCTGGTCCCAGGGGGACATTAAGCCTCTTCATGCACTCCTGCTGCAGCTCCTCAAAGAGCTCTGTGGTCTGCGTCATGCTGGGCTGCTTCATCTCCTTGGGGGGCAGGAAGAGGTTGTCCTCCAGTGCTGGTCCCCGCTCACCCTCATCCACAAAGCCATAGTTGGTCTTGCCCCGCCGGCTCGGAGGGCTGG